GTGATGAAGAATGTAATACAATAATGGTCAAAAACAAAAGAATACAAAATGCCCCAAAGGAAGGCTGTGAGCATGACAACAGGCGCATATTGGATAGATTACCACCTCTTGAAGCAGCCTCCTCAAATCCACCTGTGCCCCAGGAGAAACTTCCTTGTGGCACCATATTATATCACTTCCTTGATGATAAGCCAGGACCAGCATAAACCCACCAGGTGAAAAACCCTGGCCACACAATATTTTTTGGGTTGTGGATCAAAAAAAAAAAAACATCAAAACTGCCCATGTATTCAGGGCAAGCTTACTTCAGAGCATCTGATTGAGTTTTGACTTGCAGCTTTTACTAAACTAAAATATAAAAAGCTTATCAGCTTCATTTTTGTCATGAGAAATCATTTGGGATGGGTTTCAAGTCTATAGATAAAGATGAGAAATATGGTCTGGATCAGAAATCTGAATTCCCCTGGGGGATGAACCCCCCTACTGTCAGCCTTAGAGATACTCCATAGTATCCAAAAGACTGCTAAAACAATATTAAATATCAAATATTAAATATTAAATATTAAATATTAAATACTCAATATGTAATATAATATGTAACAATACTATTCAAGAATAAAATATTTCATAAGATTATAAAGGGGGTTGCCCACTGGAAGTATCCCCAAATTCCTACTCCTTCAAGCACTTTTGTATATATCCAAAACCTTGAAGGACAAAAGAAATAAAATATATAAATTTATAGAGAAAAATTAATGTATATGAAATTAGGGTTAAATATACATTTAGGGTAAACTTAGAAATTTTATTCTACAAGCATAATTAAATTATCAAACTTGTAGAAAAGAAAATTACCACACTATTTCAAGAGTGTGGCACTTTTCTACTAGTAGTATTCTGTTTTGAGAAGACACATGATGTAATTGGCTATAAATATGCATCATGATGTCATGGGACATAGAATATACATTATTTAAAATACCTTGGATTATTCCCATTACATCAGGGGAATAATTCTACCATGGTAGACCAAAGAGAGATTCTAGAATATTCTAGAGAGGGCCTCAAGGGTACCTCTAGAATATTTAAGGAGGCCTTCTCCTGCCTAGGATTGGTTCCTCAGCATATTCACCCCTAGTACACTTAGTGAAAAAGAACATTTTTCTAGTCTCATAAAAATTAATTGCTGTAGGACCCCTGGTATGGATCGACAAGGTAAATTATATGGGATCTCTTGAGGGGGAAATAAATTGCTAATATTTTGAAAGGCTATTACAACTTACTGGTAGTTTGAAAGAACTTCCCCTCTAAATGTACTAAAGAAATAACTAAGAGTCTTGTAATCAAAATTTAATAATGTATGGCTGATTCCAAGATATATCTTACTTTTGTAAAGTAATCTCTATCAGACCTAGATCCCATTGTGGAACTTCTCAGCAAAGAGTAAAGAACTTGGAGGGGATAAATATTAATAAAGCAATAAAATAGTAATATTAATAAACGGGTGTGGGTGAGACTTCCCTCCTTGTCCAGCTTGTGGGAGAGTTACACTTAAGAAGAATAATAGTGTGGTAGATTTCTAAAATTTTCTTAGTGAAGATACCAACTGTTGAGGATGTTGAAGAATTGTTTTGTTATGGATGGAATGAATGGTCAAGAGCTTCTGGTGTTAAGAGTTATCTGTGAGGTTTATGAGCTATTCTGGTTTAAATTATTCTTTCTGGTTTCTCTGAACTGTGAAGTCAATATCTGGATCTCTGGTTTAATCTGGGTTCTTAATAAATTAAGTCTTTATTTTTTTCAATATCTTCTGTTAAGAGTTTGAGGGGTGTAAAATATCAATGCTTGAATATTTATCAGGGTTCAATGTAGGGGTGAGGTGAGGATTTAGTAATATCTCTTATTACTATTCTGTATGTGATATGTAAGGGTTGATGAAAGCTAAGTGATATATCTAATTACTATTCTGAATCTAGCATGGGAAGGAAGGAAGGAAAAAATGAGCCAGGAGGGCCTCTATTTACAGACAAAATCTCTGGTGGGCAGTTAAAAGAACTACACTGGTCAGAATGATTGATCTGACTGGGTAATGACCACACACTGCTAATTTAATGATGTCATGCTATGAATTTAATGATCTACAGCTGTGAAATTAATGATGTTCAGCTGTGAAATTAATTATGTGCAGCTGTGAATTAATGATGTGCAGCTGTGGAATTAATAATCTACTGCTTTTTTGATCAGTGATGTAATCTGTGTGACTATTGATCTTTATGTTATGAAATAATGATGAGTGGCTGTGTAATTAACAAGTAGCTATTTAATTAATGAATGGCTGTGTAATCAATTATTTATGATCTGTTAAATTAAATAATAAAGATCTGCTGAATGATTTTATGATCTAATATTATATAATTCCATTTCCTCCTAAATGGTTTTCAGCTTTATGATTGATTTCATTATTTCTAATTCCTTCTTGGCCAAATTTGTTATAATGTGTGATTTTTGAGTCCTACCCTTCATTATATCTTGATTATGGGGAATGATAATCACACTCCCCCCCCCCCCCTTTGCACACTCACTCCAACACTCCCTTGTCTGAGGGGAGTGTGGGACTGCAAAACAATCAAAATTGGTGTTCAGGTCTTTGATTGGAGTCCTACCTACATCTGCAGTTGCTGCTCTTCTAACTGTTTCATACATATATATATTATATATATATATATATATATATATATATATAATGCACCATTAGTAAAACAAATAATTAGCACAACTGTCAGAATGACAACCTCAGTAGGGCTCAGACCCTCAATCAGACTGACTGTTTCCTTGAAGACATAACTAGCTGTAAGTGCCCACTGAGAATATGATCTGGACTGTGATGTTACCAGCGCCATGACTAATCCATTATCCCTTACCATTACCTCAGGCAACAAAGACCAAGAGATGAACCAATCTGGTCACAAAGACCCTACCGACTGAACCATGGCGGAAGCAACGGTGCAACAGAGACGATATGATACGGTATTAGGCGTTTATCTGTATCGTATCAGAATTTGAATACCCAAAAATACCGGATTTGTGTTGTCTCACTTTCCTGAGACAATACACACGCATTGTCTTTGGAAAGTGAGACAAGTATTCTGTATTGTCTCAGATGACTGATCCCACCAAAAATGTATGTATTTGATACATAAGATATTTGGCCGTATTGAAGAAAAAAAGAAAAAACAAAGACAATTTGTTTTTTTCATTTGTAAATCCGAATCCGATACAATATATTTTTTCACCAACCAAGGAAATACTGATACCGGTTTGGGATACTTTATGTGTTCCCATCCAACAACTTCAAAAATTTATAGGTTCTTTGTATATACAATAATATTACACCATATAGGGCTCCAGGAAGGGACTCCAGGGCCAAAATCACCCTAGAGGAGCAGGCTTGGACGCATGTAACCCCTCTGTGTTGCATGTTACACCCCTCTTTCACTCACAGGTAGGGGGGTCAAGCACCCTTACATGTTACAAGGATTTCAGGTACACATTTCACGCCTCCGGGCCATGTGATCTGGCATCTGTACGTCTCAAAGCAAGTACAATGGAAGTATGCAGGCACAGCATACAGGTTACCTTGGCAACCTGTCATGCAATGCGTGCAGCCTCAAATACAGGATGACATCATGCGGCTTACAGAACACAGCCTGCAGGTTGCTAGGTTGCATAGCAACTGTTGCACAGCTTGTCAATCTGACGGAAACCACTCAACTTCTCAAATCACATCATGTAGGCTGTACCACCAGCCAAAACCCCTCATGTATTCTTCCATCTTGGCCAAATTCCCTCATTTAAGGCTGTACAACCAGCCAAAATCCCTCATTCCTGGCTCCCCTGGAGCCAAAATACCTCATTGTTGTCTATATAAGGAGGCCCTTCCTCCCAGTTGTAATTTCTCCCCAGCAGACTTCCTGCAGACATTTCCCCGCATAACAGGCAAATCACTGCTCACTCCATAATATTATTTGTTCCCCAATATTTTGGTTTTACAATTATAACAACCCTTACATACAATATTATAACATCTTTACACATATCAACAACCCATTTTGCACCTGTCCACCTGTTGAACAACAGCGTATCTTTTGATACACTCCACTATCACTAATTAAAAGCTGCCAATCTAAGATTGGTGGTCTTGTTTAGTGTAGTACACAGGAAAGGCAGAGGTTACCTCACACATCCCTTTCCAAACTCAGCAAAAGGTTCTCACGAACACTTTTGAGCTTAACACCGGTATCAGGCTCAAAATAAATACAATACGATCCGATACAAATACATGTCTTGTATCTGTTGCACTGTTGGCGGATGCCTGGCAGTGATGATTAACCTGAGCACCATAGTAAGCGCAGCGACAAGCTAAGATCAAAATTTGTATAAAGAGTTCTAACTTCTTTCCCCATCTGTCACCCGTCATCTGAACAGGTCAAAACATTCCCATACTCTTCTTCCATAAAACTAACCCAACACAACCTTACCAACTATCTCATCTTAAACCACTCGCAATGACCTCCTTCCGCAACTCTTTCTTTGAATCTTTCTATTTGTGCTTAGCATCATTTCTTGCTCTTGCTCTTTCATTGTCCTATACTTCCTACATTGTCTAGAACAACATTGTCTTTTTTATATTTTTCTCTATCTTGCCTATCACATCATACCCTTGCCCTTAAGCTTTTGAATTTTTACAACAACAACTATTCCTGCTGTTAAGTAAATTTCTTCTTTCCCTTTTTGATATCTTGGCTAGACAATAAATATGTACCGGTTGACCTCTTGATTTGGTACAAGGATGTGAAACCTGCCAATGCACTCTTCAAGACCATTTGCGACGCATACAAGAAAAACACCCGCGCTTGTTGCCTGCTTTTGGAAGACAACTTCTGGACGGCTTGTGATGTGATCTGTTGTTTCCGATTGCGAAGTGGATAGCTTGTGTTAGAATGGCTGCCTCTGATCTCAAGAGTGTCAAGCTGACGCCGGCCAACCATCAAATCTGTGAACAATTGCCTCGTGGCCTTGATGAATTGTGGAAGCCAATCAGGGATCACCTTGTCTACTCGCCCAAAGAGGTCTCCCTCGATGATGCTATTGGCGCACTGGAAGCTCATGAGGTATTGATGATGGCTTTGCTTGACCACACATCATCTGAACCGTTGTTTTCTGCGTCCACAGCAAAAGCAAAACCAAGACTTGGCTGCTATAACTGTGGCCGAAGAGGCCATCATTCTTCTGAAAAGTTTTGGCTAGATAAAACAGGAAACAAGTTATGGATGATAGAATTTAATGAAGAGAAATTAAAACTGTCGATGACTAGGTTGGAAAGACTTGAAGAGAATAGAAGACAATTATAATCATGCACGCAGTTATAACAACATAGAAGAGAAAAGAATAAGAACCTCAGAAAGTCAACCTAGATGAAAAAGTCCTCGGAGAAGTTGGAAACCACACGAGATGAAGATGAAGAAAAGATTAAAAGACAAGTAAAGTAAGATTGTTAACGGTAAGCTGAATTGATAGGTTGAAGGAAGTTGATAAGTGAGTTAAAGTATAGTCGAAGTCGAAGAGGTAGATAGTAAGTATTCTTTGAACAACGGTCAACAGGAACAACGGTCAACAGTGATAGACAGAGAAAAGATTAAAAGATTGAAAACAACGGTCAACAAAGGAAAAGAAATAAAAGTAACACTAGCTGTGTAAGATCACGCTACTATGACATCACAGAATGTATGCGTGCCGTCATGATCAGATTTCAACACACCCCCATGCACCAAACCGCTAAGGTGGGGGCATACCTGCACGGAGAACCTTGAGGACCTTGAAGATTGAACTGCGACCGATTGACTTTGTCAGAAAATCAGCCAACATCAAGTGAGTTCGTTTAAAAGTCAGGACAATGTTCTTTGCGACTATTTTGGCTTGAATAAAGTGAAAACGAAGATTCATATGTTTTGTCTTGAATGCCGAGTGATTTGATTCATTGTTGGCAAGCAAAATTGCTCCTTGATTGTCTTCAAAAATTTCAAACGGAAGGGATATCGGAAGTTTGAGTGCAGAGTCAATTACCATATTGAGCCAGAGTAGTTCTTTCGAAACTTCAGCAATAGCAATGTATTCTGCCTCTGTTGAAGAAAGAGAAGTCGTCGATTGTTTCTTTGAACGCCAAGAGATCAAGTTATTGCTCCACAAGATTAAATAGCCAGTGGTAGATTTAGCAGTAATGTGACAACTAGCCCAGCTTGCATCAACGAAAGAAACAAAATTAACTTGATCAATAGGAGTTGAACGCAGAGTAATTCCAAAATCTTTCGTTCCTTTGAGGTAGCGTAAGGTATGAATCGCCGCGTCCCAATGTAAGATACCCGGATTTTTAAGAAATTGAGACAAGCATCCCACAGTGAAGGTAATATCTGGTCTTGTTGTTACACTTAGATAATTAAGTGCTCCAACCAGACTCCGGTAATTGGGGGGTTGATAAGTGCAAGCCAACCCCCCACGCGCACGCCAATCTGCACGCCAACTGCAGATTGGCGTGCGCGCCTGCACGCCATTGCAGAATGGCGTGCAGGCAGGCAAGCCATTTGCCTGCAGGGGTATACCCTGCAGGTTGGCGTGCCTGCGTGCACGCCCAACTTTAGGTCCTAAACGCATATTTATATGCGTTTAGGACCTGGGCTGTCCCATAGGACCCAGGCATGGGTCCTATGGGACTCTTTTTTTTCTTTTTTTTTTCCCTTCGGCCTAGAGAGGCCAAGGTCACACAGCCGGGAGGAACCCCTCCCGGCTCGCCGGTCTACAGTCCAGCGGAAGGCTTTCCTTCCGCTGGACGAGGTACACGTACCTTGTCCATCGGAAGGAAACCCTTCCGCTTGGACGAGGTACGTGCCCTGTCTCCTCTCAACAGGTCAATACTTATTGGAGCTGGGCTCAGGTTCATAAGGCTGATCAATACACAGATCTACTCGACGAATGGCGTGATTTACCATCTGAACAGTCAAGTGCCTTCACTCTCTCTGGCCAGCTGTCTCAAATCGATCACCAACAAGAAACTCATCTTGCGAACTCTCTTTTTCTTCCTTCATCATACAGAGGCGTGCCTCCCACATTGCGGCTCTCTTCCAGGGCTTCGGATTACGTTCTCAAACTCAATCTTACACCTTCTCCTCACTCGGTTCTCAAGTACATTCGATCAGCAACAAAAACAGGATATCTACGTATAAAAAATGGTAGATATTTAGTAAAGCAAAGGATTACACAAGGGAAAAAAGAGGAAAGCTGTACAAGTTGGCGAGCGGCGGAGAGGGGGACAAGAATGTGAGATGAAGAGGAGAAAGATCAAAAGAGGTCGTCGGGCAACTCACCATCGGGGTCGTCGATCCCATCATCAAACCGATCCTCAGGCTGTTGGTGGCTCCGTTGTTGTTGTTGTTGTTGCTGTTGACGGGCAGAAGAAGAGGAGTGTACAGAGGAGGGGCGAGGGGTAGCGGTAGAAGACTGTTCGCGGGAATCGTTCTAAGAAGAAAAGATGTGGTGTCCTTTTAGTACGGAATGGGGGAACTGGAATGATGATGAGCGGGAGGAGAGGAACGGACCTGGTGGGTCGTCGGTGGCTTGTCATTGGCCGCTTCGGCTGCATCGATCCATGACGAATAGACATCGATCGGCTCGGTTAAATCTGTGGACGCTCAGCTTCTTGTGGTAAGCTGCTCTTCTGGTGACGGCCTGGATTGCTGGGCTCGAAGACACTTACGGTCGATCTTCGTCTCGAAATTTTGGCCACACTTCGAACACTCTATTCGCGATTGCATCTCTTGTCGATCCCTGCACTCATTTCAATTGGGGGGAAAAAAAAAAAAGAAAAAAAGAAAAAAAAAGAGTCCCATAGGACCCATGCCTGGGTCCTATGGGACAGCCCAGGTCTAAAGTTGGGCGTGCACGCAGGCACGCCAACCTGCAGGGTATACCCCTGCAGGCAAATGGCTTGCCTGCCTGCACGCCATTCTGCAATGGCGTGCAGGCGCGCACGCCAATCTGCAGTTGGCGTGCAGATTGGCGTGCGCGTGGGGGGTTGGCTTGCACTTATCAACCCCCCGGTAATTGACTTGTAATTTACTTAATTCATCAATTTCGGCTTTAGAGGCTTTCACAAGGTGTCCATTCGGCTTCATTGGTGTAGCAAGGGGAACTAAATCTTGACAATTGAATTTGTTAAGTGTACTTTCAATGTAGTGTGTTTGAGTCAGATGAACACTAGAGTCTAGTTGAGTGACTTTCATTCCTAGCAAGTGTTTCGCACTGCCGAGATCCTTAATTTTAAAACGTTTTGCGATTAAATCTTTGAAGACGTTGGGTTCCAGACTGAAAATTGCAATGTCATTGACATGAACGTATAGCCAGGTGTTAGCCAACCAGAAAACGCAAGGTTCTGCATAGCTACGATTAAAACCGACGGAAAGAAGCCAAGACAAAAGCGTCAGGTGCCATTCCTTTGGCGCCTGTTTCAAGCCATAAAGTGCTTTCTTTAATAATAAAACTTTATTGGAGGGAACATCGATGCCGGGAGGAGGATTTAGAGTTATACTTTCTTGAATCAGTGCATTGAGAAAAACACATTTAACATTGATTTGGTGAAACTCGTATTTACGTTGTAAGGCAAACGTGATAAGGAGACGAAGAGAGACTAATTTGCCAGTTGGAGCAAACGTCATGTTGTAGTCTTTACCAAAAACTTCCTTGAATCCTTGAACACATAACCGTGCTTTGTATTCCTGAGATTGATTGGAGGACTCAGGTTTTATTTTGAATACCCAAGTACAATTGATAGGTTTATCAATAGAAGTTCTCTCAATGACATCCCAGACTTCATAGTTGGCCATGTTGTTTCTTTCCTTCACTAGAGCAGCATTCCAGTTGTATTTATCGAAAAGAGCAATCACTTGGTTATATGTTAGTGTATCGTCCTCAGAGAGTGTTGAATTAAACGATTCAGCAGGTACACCTCTACGAGAATAGGACAGAATATTTTCAGGTGAGATATCTCCGATAATTTCATTTGATGGCGGTAAAGATTCTTCTAGTGCGCGTTCTTGATTAGGAAAGGGATGAAATTGATCTGTTAGAATAGTATGCTTATATTCATTAGGGGGTATCAAATATAGCAAATCCACCTTTGCAAACCCGTCAATTATTTTTTTGAAATCCACGATTATTAATTGACGGGTTTCCAAAATCCACCTCCATCAACCCCAACGGGTTTTGAACAAAAAAACACACATCTTTTCACCCAAACCAGTCAATTAAAATATCCCATTTGTTTCAACTCATATCGCCGCCAATTTTCACTTGCACCGCCAAACCTCACCTCATCAGCACCGATCATCCCACCACCAAACTGATCATATGACCACATCATCAGCACCAATCATCCCACCACCAACTCATCATCAACACCAAGATCGCCTCCACTCAAGTCCTCAAAAGCAATCATGCCCAAAGTATCTCGAAGAAAGAAAATAATCGAAGCATCCAATGTTGCTGCAATGGCCATGATGGACGATTCAGATTCAGATCACGACTCAGAATTTGAAGAATTTTACTTTTTCTCTATGAGTCAGCTTCAAAAACGATACCTAGTAGCTCGAAACTCCACGACACGATTTGATCCTCGTTATGACTTGTCTGAGCTTCAAGAACTTCCAGAATTAAGCTTTGTGCAAATCGTCTTCACCAGAATCGCTCAGAGCACGTGCCTTGCTTGTAGATTGCACACGATTGCTTTTGTTCTTCTTCTTCTTTGGTGATTTCGCCTGGGTCCCCACGGCCTTAGACTTTGAAGCTGGATCTTGGACAGTCTCACCCGATGGAGTGGGTTCCTGGATAAGAGCGATGAAGAAAGTCAATATAGTTGTAGTCTTTTCTGCCATCACTCAACAGTGCAACTTACACCTGTTGCCCCAGCCTGGACACCTGCCTCTTCATCCATTGGAACTTGCCCAGTCGGAGCTTCCGTTCTCTGTTTGACGGGGCAATATCTTTCAAAATCAGTGAACAGACGACTGACAACAAATGAATCCAATTGAATTACATCACCTGTGTTTTCTTGCTCCAGGGCCACGATATTGACTTGTGAAGTAGCATTCTTCAACAAAGGGTGAATAGCAGTGGACTCAGAACTATGAGATGAATCGTTCCCATCCATCTCATTTGAGGAATCGGAATTGTTGTCCTCAGAAGATGATTCGGATGAATTGTCTTCATCCTCTGCATCCACCATAAACAACGGATTGATGTCAGGTCGGTTACCAAAGATTTCGTCCATTTCAGGGTAGAGAGGACACATATTTTCAAGTTTGTCCTCGATCGTTGTGATTCCAGCCTTCCGATCAGCTGGGGTCAGACCGAAGCCAGTTGACATAGATTTCGTATGAGCTTTCTTATACTTGTCCTTGTATGACTTGAAACGATCTTTCATCTGTCGGGGGGTAAGATTGATTTTAGTTGGAGAAACCTTTTGGAGGTGAATCGCCATCAACTCGTAACCGTTTATCATCGCCTTTGGTCGTTGTCCAATCGCAGGAGCCTTCCCATCTCCAAAACAGGCAACATAGTTTTTCTTGTCTCTGAGCCAGTCGATGATGATTTCATAGTCCTCTATTTTTAGATGACCTTGGGATGAACCAAGTTCATCATCGTTCTTCTTTGATCGTGTATTTTTCGGAGTGGCCCTCTTCTTCTTTGGAGGGGTTCGAAGTGATCGCATGGTTGGGATTCTGGAAGCTTTCTTTGGAGGCATCTGTTGGGTGCATGTAGTGGAAAAAGAACAAAATTTGTGAGGCCATTGAAATATACTTTGGTTCAGTTGAAGATAAATACCTTGAACTAATCAATTGATCAGACTTGGTTTGATGACGAGTGATGTGCAGGGGCAAGTTAAGAGGAGATGTTGAAGAAGCCGTGGGGTGAGTGGCGATTGAATCGTGGAGGATTGAGGGAATCATGGAGGATGGGGGATGGTTGGAATTTGAAATTTGAAATTCAGGAATTTTGGGCTAAAAAAATGGGTTGATTTATGCTATATTTGATACGCCCGGACAAAAGAAGTAGGTTATTTGGTCACTGCAAAGGTGGATTTGGTAAGTGTGGATTTCTCAAAACCCGTCAATTAAAAAGTGGTGGATTTCGTTATATTTGATACCCCCTATTATTGTAGTATGCTTCTAACCAGAGAACAACAATCTTGTATATAGTCTACTAGATTGTCCACCATGCTTTTCCCCCCAGTGAATCAGAACCATTACATTCTCACTCACAAAGTGTCACAGGTTTGTCAACCGTGAACTTTGGGTTCTTCTCTCCCTTGCTCATCGCAACAGGTTATGAGGCCCATCCGCTCACCCTGCTCGCGACTCAACATCTTTTTCAACACTCGTCTTCGACCTCGTATTGTCTTCCTCACTAAGATGCCAGCTTGGACCACCCAAAACCCTTCCGCTCTCATTGGGAACGTTCCGGTTCTAGACGGGAACTCGGTTGGCTTTCCAGCTTGGCGCACTCGACTCGAGGAACTCTTCGCCATCCAGGGGGTGCACGATATTGTTGTTGGCAAGCTTGCTCGACCGGAAGGCGATTATAAACACAAGGATTCTAAACCCGTTACGCAGGGCTCTCAGTGTATCTACTTCGCCAAAGAATCTGGGTCTGATTGGGATACACTCTTGGATGTAGCTTGTGCGACCTTAAAAATGACGCTCTCGATCGATCTAGCAATCAGATACAAGGATCTCAAGCTGGTCAATGTATTGTTCAAGACTATCTGCGACGCATATGAAAAGGACACCCGCGCGAGACGAATGATGTTACAAGATTTGTTCTGGGGTGCACGTCATGATCCCAGTCAACCGATAGCCCGATACATCGCAAAGGTTCACAATGCCGCCTCGGACCTCAAGTCGGTTAAATTGACTCCTGCAGATCAACAAATATGCGATCAACTTCTCCGTGGTCTGGACGACTCGTGGAAGACGATCAAGGATCATCTGGTCTATTCACCAACGGAAATCTCCCTTGATGACGCCATTGGGGCGCTCGAGGCGCACGAAGTGTCAACGCAGGTCTCGTTTGACAATGGTCCGGATGCTTTTGCGGCTGCTGCGGCGACAAAACCAAAAAAGTCTGGCTGTTGGAGATGTGGCGAGATCGGTCATCACTCGTTGGTTTGTCCAAATCCTCCCCTGAAGAACCGACCCAAAGCTCAAGCAAACAATATTGAGGCACGAGCCGGCGCCACATCAGCGGTCCCACTTGGAGGTGGTGGCCCTAGCGATGAAGAAGATGAAGAGGACAACTTCGATCCAGAAATCGACGTCGTGTGGGGATAAACCCCAAAGTAGAAGACAGTTATTTTCGTAGGGAAGGCAACTCCGGTATGACCTGACGGCTAATTCCTCCTGGCGGCCAGGAGTATATCAATTGTCACGATTTTTCCCTGCTCCTCTCTTCCACTGGATCTCTGGCCTGATTACTATTTCTAATTTCTGTCCCCATTGAAGTAGTTATGCTAGTCAACCTCAGTAGCTTTCAACTATTTCTTTTAATTTAGTTCTGGTTTTCAGCAAGGGGGTGTGTTAGAATAGTATGCTTATATTCATTATTGTAGTATGCTTCTAACCAGAAAACACCAATCTTGTACATAGCTTATACTAGATTGTCCATGGTGCTTTTCCCCCCAGTGAATAAGAACCAAAACATTCTCACTCACAAAGTGTCACAGGTTTGTCAACCGTGAAATTTGGGTTCATCTCTCCCTTGCTCATCGCAAAATGATCATCATTGTCATTGTCTTTTGAAGGTATGACTTCGAATGGATTGAAGTAGAAGCTAGATTCATCCAGCGATTCGTTACAAAGTGACAGAAAAATACTCTTGTCAAACGTCACATTTCGAGTGGTGCAGAGAGTCTTTGATTCTATACTTATGAAGCAATACGTAGACAAATTATCCCCATAGCCAAGAAAAATTGCTTTTTCTGATCGAGGTAATAATTTATTTGTTCATAATTCTTCAGGAATCAAGATGTAAGCCATGCAACCAAAGCAACAAAGTTTTGAAAGATCAAAATCTTTCCCAAAGAAAGTCTTATAAGGGATTTCAAAGTTTCTGGTACTTGACGGAAGAAGATTGCACAAGTCCGTAGCTGTAACAACTGCTTCAGCCCAGTACCGAGGAGAAAGGTTTGCTTGAGCAAATAAGCATCTAGCTTTATCAAGTATAGCTCGATTTGATCTTTTGGCCATTCCGTTCTTTTCTGGAGTGTATGGCGGAGAGAATTGATGAGAAATGCCTTGATTACGAAGGAAGTCTTCAAAAAATAATTTTTTAAATTCTCCTCCATTATCTAAAATAATGCGCTTAATCGTATGACCAGTCTGATTCTCAGCTTAGATAACAAAATTGTCAAACTTGTTGAGAGTTTCCAACTTATGTTTCAACAGCTTAATTGTCTTGAAACCCAAGAATTGATTGACTATTGTAAGGAAGTATTGAGCTCCTCCGACTGAGCAAGTTTGAAAAGGACCAACTAGATCGAGGTGAACAGCTTCAAGCACTTGAGAGTTAGGTGCAAATTTTCCTTTAAAAGGTAATTTAACCGCTTTACCCATCTTACAGTCGACGGCGACAGCATCGTCAATTAATCTTTTGAGGTAGGGATGACTGGGATGACCCAGTCTAGCATGCCAATCGATTGAACTGTTGGACAACGTTATAGAGTGATACAAGGAAAATTCTTCTTTCATTGCAAAATCATTGGTAATTTCTAATAAATTATTACGAATAGTACCCGACAAACTAAAGTTGTTGTCGAGTTCTATTTTGAAGGGGCGTTGATAAATGCACTCCTCCCC